AAAACTTGTTTTTTCTTTATATATATTTTCCACAAATTAAAGTCCAGCAAATATAAATATTTAATGTGCACAAACAATTTTTGTTATATACAAAATAAATAAGCATTTGTGCTACTCTCACAAAAAGAGCTAAATTTACTATTTTTTTTTTTTTTTTTTTGAGATTTTTTTTCTTAGCAAAAGGATATCCAAAAGTCAAGTTGTCTGAATTGCGAATAATTCTCTTTTATTTTTGGCATTGCGCCTATTGCCAATATTGCCATTTCCGGCATATGTCCAGACATAAAGCTAATCAAAATGTCCAACACACACACTTCACACTCACAAACACACTCACACACACACACACACACACACACACACACACACACACACACACACACACACACTCAAGCTGAATGCGTTTCAAGTGCAAACTTCGGCTTCGAGTGGCATCTGATGGACATGTAGCCAGTCGATGGGGCCAGAGCACAAGAATTTTTCTCTCGCTCTCTGTGCGTGTGTGTGTGCGTGTGTCTGTGTGAGGCACTTCATTTTTAGGGGGTCAGCCGGACATTGGTCGAGCGGAAGTGCTGGCCGTCAGCATTGAGTTTTTTTTTATGATTATTATTTGTGCTCTGGTCCATTATTATTAATATTTGATGGTGCGTTATTAGCGCCATTAGCCGCAGACCCCAACTGCTCGAAGCTCGGAGCTCGATGCCGTTTTTGCTCCATTATGACACGTAGCTTTATGCAGCTTCCGGCAGCTTCCGTTTCCGTTAGCGAAAAACATTTGATAAATTGCCGAGCCAATGAAAGGGGATTGTAAAGCGTCGCAAACTGATGGGGGGCTATGGGCGGGCATATATTGCATCAGCTGCCGCTGCTGCTGCTGCTGCACATGGAGATAATGGAAAATGTGTTTGGTTTTTGGGTAAGGTAAACAATATGTTAATAACACAAGCAAATGCAATAGCATTTTGGGTGGTTGCTGTCTCTGTGGGTGGAAAACTGTTTTTTTAAAGATTACGTTCAAGATTTATGATAGAGTTTCGGCTCGGCTGGCTTAATGGCAGTTTTATGATTGCCTTTGCCAGCGCTTGATTGATAGATGAAACGATGCATGGCCCCAGACCAAAAGGTGTGAGTGAACAAGTGTGTGTGTGTGAAACTTTGAGCAATTGGTCTCAGCTGTTGTCGAATTTGTCACATGGTACTTTGGAAAACTTAAGCGCAACTTACACATGTAATAGAATACAGCAAACCCAACTAAACGAGTCGCCTTGCTCTCCTTGCTCTCCCTTCTGCTGGCTGCAACTCTATGCCAATCCATCAAGAGCTGCATGCATCGTACAACCACTACAACTACTCGAATTACTAACAATAACAACAACTACAAAGATACACAAAACCATCCAGACAAAAACACACAGTAGAACGCACGCACATCCCAATTTCTATACGAAATCCCAATCGCCCACCCTCTCCCACCAACTGAGAGAGAGAGAGAGTGGGGGGGAGAGTCGCATCCCTTTCGTTGCCTTGGCGTGTCGTCTTTGGGCGTCTCTGTGTGATCCGCTGCAGATGTTTGCATTTATTTTGTAATTACTGTCACGCAATGTGACCATCAAATCAAATAAAACAAATTCCCACTGAGTGAAAGTGAGGCGAACTCAAGTTTCTTTAAATGGTTTCAACTTTTTCCTCTCGGGGTTGGGCTTCAACAACTTTACTTCTGCAGCAGCAACCCCTCTAATTAATGTACTACTTGGATCTACTTAAAAGTTCAATGATTGCTAACTAAACAGGCAAAGGGACATCATAATGAATAAACAATTATGCGAATGCTTTCAATGCACCACTGACCCAATTTTTAGCTTAAATGAATCTCGAATTAATGTGAAGCATAAAAGAAGCTTTCATCTATAAATATGCCATGCTATCAATATTGTAATTAAATTTTAATAAAACATATTATATTTAACAGGCCTAAGGAAGTAGAATAAATTATTTGAAATCAAAATAATTTATTGTTATTTACATATATGCCTTCTATGTATATTATTACTTTTAAATTTTGTTTATTTTATTTTATTTTATTTTTTTTATAAATATATTTTATAATATATTTTTATAAATATCTACAAATACTTATGATCATGCTCTCTAAATAATTTGATATTTTTGTACGTGTTGATCTCCCCATTTAGTCTATCCATTGATTTTCGATTTAATTAAATTAAATTACCGTATTTAAGTTTTGTTTCTTGTTGAAATTTTTCTTAATTTTTTAATAAAGACTGCTCTTCGATATATTTTGATTTAAAAATAAATGCGATACTTTTTTCAGTACTTCCGTGTAAGACATATAAATAAATCAATCAATATATAAAAGTACATTACAAATAAATTATTTTTTTTATTTATTAATATTTTATTTTATTTTCAATAATAATCAGCAACAGTATGAGAATTATTAAATGTGAAATGTGTATATAAATAAGTAAATAAATATATAAAAATATATTAAAAATTAAGTATATAATTTTATTTATACCATTTGATTTTAGTTAACAATAAAACTAATAAAATATATAAATAATTATACATTTTATGTACTTATATAAAAATCAATATTGCTCTAAGACTTATTTATAATTTAAATTATATATAATAACCTTATATATAACGTCAAGTTTGCGCGCTTGAGAAATGGAGATTTTTTAATAAAACGAATTGCTTGTCCGAGCCTTTCAAGCACTTTGACAACGTCTTCCAGCTAAGCTGGCGAAAATCGCTCAGCCAGACGTTTAAATTCTCTGCAGAATACAAAATGGAAAAATTAAAGAAAATGGAAGTCTGCCATTTAAAACTAAACACGTCTGCCAATATTAATATATATTGTATTTCCGACAGCTCACAAAAAAAAAAGAAAAGGCAAAAATACAAAAACACTTCCATTAATGTCAAAATGCGCTCCAGACCCGCAGCCGAACCGAGCTGCCCCACCCAGCTGCCCCCCAGCTGCCCCCCCAGCTGCTGTAAACTTTTGCTCAACCCACTCCGAGCGCGACTCGGCAGTTTTTCAAAACTTTGCCCGTTCAATACGTTCGCTCGGTTCGCTTTTTACCGAACAATTTCAAATGCAACACAGCGCGGCAAGGATATTTTTCACTTTGCTCTGCGAGCAGCCAAAAAGGAGGCAAACATTATATATGGAATTCACGGCCAGGGCCAGGGCCAGTTCGCAGTTCTCAGTTCTCAGTTCTTCGTCGTCATCGTCGTCGCAGCGTTTGCCACTTGTTGTTTGGGTTGAATGGCATGCCCCGTGGCCCATGGACCATGCCCTTGCCACGCCCACCTGCACAGTCGCCATTTGAGTGTTGCCAATGTTAATCGAAGGAATACAACAGCAGCGACAACAACAGCAACAACAACGACTAGAAAGAGGAAGCAAGAAAAGAGCTCAGCTCTCGTCGCGTTATCTCACGTATATGGGCAGACATAAAAACAAATTACATGTCGAACTGGGCGTGAAGCGTGGGGCGGCAGGAAGCTAGAGCATGGAGGAGCATGCGAGGCAGGCAGACCGACAGACCGACAGACAGACAGAGTGCTGCTTAAGCGGCTTTATGTACAAAAATTGTAAATGGCATTTGTCTCCAGCTTTTTTTTTGTGTCCATGTGTCCATATGTGTGCGTGTGTGTGCGTGTGCTTGTGTGAGTGTCTACATGCAGCTATTTCCGGTGCTATGGCGGCCAGCGGAAGCGGCTGTCGTTTGTGTTTTTCTGTACTTCATTTGTTTTTTATTTGCTGTCTATTATTTTCTCTTCTTCTTTTTGGTTTTGCTGACGCTCTTTTTGCTGTCGCTCTGTAAAAAAAGTTTATCAATATTGAAAAGTTTAGCGTGTATTTATTGTTGTACCTCAGCCTGCCTGGCTCATAGTCATAACAATAAACCGAGGGTTCATAAATAAGTTATTAGTCAATGTCTTTTGGGGTTTTGTGTTCATGTTATGGCTTTGATAGCGCTCCAATTGCCGCTCATTGACGTTCGCTTCTGCAGCTCTCACTCCTAATGAGCGCGGTCTAGAAAATTATGACATTTTCCATGTCTCTGTGTGAGTGTCTGTGTCTGTGTTGAGCATAAATTTGGAGTTACGTGCAGTTTGGCAATCGTTGCAATCGACTCAATAAAACTTGGCGTAATATCTCAAGCGATTCTAGACTTGATGTGCAACGATTCTGACGTCAATTCTATTTACGTCTTTAACGGATGTTGGCTTATTTACGCGGTAATTTTTTGATTTGGAATGTTTTATTTTGGTTTTATTTGGCTCAAGTGACAGCTGATTATATATTAAGAGTTTAGCATACAATTTGTTTAAGCTTGAAGAGTTTGATGTATACATGGTCATAAAAAGTCAAATGACTTGCATGAGAATGATAAACCCTATCAAGAGCTCGGCTGACTCTATACTCAGAAGGGAAGAAAAGGGACTTAAGGAAATCAATACTCCCAGCTAAAACTAAATAAAAAAAAAAAATTAAAAAAAAAAATAAAAATAAATAAAAAAATATATAAAAAATAAATACATTTTCTCATATAGAAAACCTTTCTTAAAGGCCTAATAAAATAAATACATATATATTTTTGTATAATATACAAACGCAGCAATATTTTAAATATTATATTATAATTCAGTTTAGCAAATTTAATAAATAAATAATTTTCATTATTATTTTTTATGATTTAATTAATATTACATTCCTACTTAAATACACACGACACTGTGGGGTTTTTCTTAATATATTGCAACAGTAATATAAAACAAATATTTTTGCTCACATTTCATTAAACAACAAGTGTGACGTCTGTTCAGAATAACGTCATATGTCTTTGACAAATAAATAGAATGTGAGCACATCTGTGTTGACTTTACCAGCGCGCAGAGCCGCGAGTTGCTATAAAAGCAAATTATGTTGGCCAAATTTACATCAATCCCGAACTGACAAGATGAGAGCTTGTACGATTGCTTTGAGCTGCGCTCTTTTGGCCCTACTTGTTGCCCACCTGCCGCGCGGTGAGGCAGTCACCTGTGCAGAGGCGCCCACCGATGCCAACTGCATTGACTGCACTCTGGCAGCGAATTCAGCCGATCCCGAGTGTGCGCCTCCAACGACAGTGGAGTCAATCACGACGCAAGCCCCGACAGAGGGCGAGTCAACTGTGGCTAATGATGATCCCAACGCTGATGATGATGATGATGATTGTCCCTGCCGTCGCCCACGTGGAGGTCGTGGCGGTCGTCGAGGTGGCCGTGGAGGTCGCCGAGGTGGGCGTGGCGGTCGTGGAGGACGCGGTGGCAGACGTGGTGGCAGACGCGGCGATAGACGCTTTGGCCGCGGCTAAAAACAGATCCTTGGCAGGCGAAACCAATTAATACTTTGAATAAATGAATTTTATGATTATTGAAATTTTTTTAAATTATATTTGAGGGGGATTTCCTAAATTCATTTCAAAAATTCGCTTCGCTCAGCAATATTGAAATATTTTCCAGGCTTCTCTAGTTGAGTTTCATAATATCAATTCGAATATCAATATCGAATGGTCAGCTCTGATATTTATTAAAAGTATTTTTGGTAGCTGTAAAGAGAAACTGCTCCATGTGATTCTCACTAGTTAAATGAAATAAATTGTTCGGCTATTATTGCAACTTATCTCGCCTTTCCACAGCCTCCAATTGCCAAGGTTCTAACGCTTTTCCTTATACGAATCTCATAAATTTATATAATGAAAGGAAAATATATTATAATATTATATTACTGGCTTATCTTGATTAAATTAATTGTGTAACAATATTATATAAAAAAAATATATAATATTAAAAAAGAAGTCAATAATTTAGCAAACTCAACTTGAATATATAAATCATGCTCAATGAATTTCTTTCAATTTCCTACATTCATTTCACTCGACAAAGAGCTCAAAAAAGAATTAAACCAGATTTCTTGAAATACTGTAAATTTATTACCCAAATAATAATAGATTCTATATTATACACAGACCACCAAAAACAATTAAAGAAAGAAAAGAGAAAAAGAGAAATGCGTTGCCCAAATTGAATATGAAATGAAAAGTACTTCAAACTGTGCGACCCTTGGGAGCAACTAGCAATTGACTAAATGGTTCAATCAGATGTCAAATATCAGTCAAAAGGCAGTCGTCGAAGAATGTAATCACAGTTCAAAGTCGAAAAAATTGACATAATTACGAGTGCATGGCATATCGTATACATTTCACATGGCTGCAAAAGAGCGAAAAGAAATCACAGCAAAAGCAAAAGAAAGAAAAAAAAGAAGAAGCGAAAAATGAAGTGAAATTTTAATAAGCTAAATAAAGCGGCAAGAGAAAAGACGCCGCCAGGTGAAAGCAAGCGAGCAGAAGCGGTGAGGACGGCGGGGCAGAGACAGAGGCGACATCGCAACGCATAATGCAAAGCCCCAGACAAATATGTGAGCCCCAACTGCGGAGCAGTACTTGCAGGCCGCAGACAGTGCCGAGATGTGCGCCATGCTTTTCTTTATGCATATTTAAAAAGCCACCCGCCCAATAAGTATGCTACAAATAATAAGCGTAGTGAAGCGGCGCGCATTATAAACCAGACTGCGTTGCCACTCCTACTCCCAAAGCAAGCGCCTAAGCCCCTGCTCCTGTCCCTGTCCCTGTCCCAGCCCAGTCCTGCCCCAGTCAAGCGTCATGCCTGAGACCATTTTAGCCCAAAGTCTACATGGAATTATGCGAAGCTTCTGCTGTCTGTTGTTGTTTTTGTTAATGGAGCAAAGCTGGCTGCGTTGTTGGTATTATCCTGCGACTGTGATTGTCTGTGCTGTTTGTAGTTAAAATGAGAACAGCAACAACAGCAACAACAACAACAACAATGGGAGCAACAACCAGCAAGTAGCAGAGGAAGAATAAGAGAAGACAGTACACGGCTCACCATAAAATGCGCAGCAGTAGCTAAAAATCAGCACAAAGAGAATATGCTAAACGTTTGACGAGAGTCGACTCAAAAATATGCAGAAGAAATAAAGCCCAACCTGATGAGCTTAAAAAAAAATGAAATAAAAATGAAAATCTATATTTGAAAACAAAATGTAAAGAAAAAATCACGACACATTAAAAAAGCATATCGAAGAGTCAAGTTATGAGAAAATATATATGTATATAAGTATTTTTTCCAAAGGTGATGTCATTGATGAGTTTGACGAGGGTGGAGGAGTCAGAAGGAGGAAGCTGAGATACACACAAAAGACGGAAATGTTTGTCAGGTGAGCTGTAGTCTCAAGTGTGTCAACTCAAGCAATCGAAACGTTCAAATATTGAGAGAAAGCTAACGGTTGCCTTATGGAAATGATATTTTACGCACATAATATTATAA